TCCGGGTCCCCCTCAATCTCCCCACTCTTTCCGTCGCGTTGGTTAAGTCCTCGAGGCGGAGAGAAAGGAACCACAGTGATGGACGGCTGCCTATGGCGTTGCCATGTGGCCTCGGTCATGTGGGTTTGTGACGTAAGGGGTAAAAGAATCTTGAGGTCATGGGGCTTCCCCTGACCTGGATTCTATCTCTCCGTCACCGGCAGAATCGCTGATTAATGCCTACAGTTCAAAATAGTCATTTTGACTGACCGGAGTCTATGGTGGGTATGAACTATGTGAATAGGCGGGTTCGAAGAACCCTCGCCTAAATCTCTGACATGCTTTGACAGATTATGTTCGAATTTTATATATTCATTATACATTATATTATAGATATATACATGTATTCAAAATGGCTGATTTTGTTTTAATTACTGCTGTTCCAGAGCAATGTCTCAATGTGATGATCAGATCAAATGTCAATTATTTTAATGTTAAACAATCATCATAATCATATTCCTGACATGGTTATATTCCAACAAAACTATATCTTAAATTCGATAACTAACTGGGGCTGTGCCATGCATGGCTTGTTTTTCAAATAGATTTTGTAGAATTTTTTGGCACATCCATTACTATTACAGATTGGTTCAATTAATGTATGCAAGGGTACTTTGTATGAATTTGATTCAGTGGCTAAGCTGATTGTTGACACTGACTGTTGATGACATTTTTTTAAGTCCCCGTTCGGCCATTTTTGTGCTAAAAAATCTTAAAAATCTTAAAAAGCATTTCTTGGCTGTTTACAGATGGATTTTGTTGAAACTTGGTATATACATTAGACATTATGGGACCTTGATGCAAATAATTTTGTTCTGGCGGCCATTTTGTTTTAATGAATGTGGTTCTCGTGCCATATCTCTGACTTGCTTTCACTAATTAGTCCCCGTTCGGACGCAGTCCGAAAACGGGGACTTGTGTTTTGCCCTGTGTGCGTCCGTCCGTCCGTGATCACCTGTATCTCGAACATGCATGGACCGATTAAGTTCAAACTTCACTCATACATCACACATTATATGGGATATATGCACATGCATTTTTTTCATGATCCGATTAACGATAGCCGAATAGTGGCCATTTTAAGGCCGAAAATGCATCAAAATCGCACATTTTCACCATTCCGGACCCGGATCTCAGTTATGCATGGACGGATTTTGTTCAAATTTGGTACATACATTAAACATAATAGGACCTTGATGCACGTCATTTTTTTTTGGATCGGGTTCGAAATGGCCGACTGGCGGCCATTTTGTTTTAAAGAATTCAGTTCTGGATCCGTATCTGAGACATGCTTGGATTGATAGAGTTCAAACTTCACACACACAAGGTACATCATGTCACAAATATGTATGTGCATTTGTTTCATG